TTTAGTTTAATTTTAAACTGATTGTCTATAGGTGTCACAATTTATTCATCTTATGTTTTTTATAAAAAACAGAATGGTTATAAGTTATATGACAATACTTTGTGAGTCAATTGCTTCTTGTGAATAGAGTGCATAAAATTTATTTTCATCTACACTCTTTTAATGGAATTGTTATCACCAAAGTGACTTTCAGGTTTTCATACTAGAATATGGTATTTTTTAAAATGTCAGGTTGGTTAGACAGGGATATCTGCTTTTTAATATCATGCCCACAATTCCAAGCTATTTCACTGTGAACAAGTTATCTAAGTTCTGAAAATTGTATTTTTAATAAGATGTAGAAAACAATACCAGCCATTTTGAATTATTATTTTCAAGATCAAACTATCATAGTTATGGGGCTAACCCAACCTAGATGTTCGGTAAATGTAAAATATCTATTATTCTAGAGACATTTATAGCTAAATGGATGTATACTGAGGACATACTCTTAAGTGAAATAAATAGAACACACATGTGTAAATACCGAATAGTTTCTCTAGTGTAAGAAACTGAAAGTGTAAATAAGGATTTAAATCATTAAAATGAATAATTGATAATTTGAAATAGGAAGAAAAGGTTCAAAGAGGTAGAGGAAATGGGAGGAGAAGGGGAAAGAAAAAAGGGAAAAGAAAAATTATGAGAAAAGGAAAAAAATTGAAACAAAGTCTTTGTAAATAGGGAAGGATGGAGGGGGTGAAGGGAGCACAAGGAATGGGGGAAAAAATAAGAACCAATATACATCATGTATGGGTACAAGCACCCAATAATAAATGTAAATGTATTGTATACCTAAAATGTACCAACAAAAGAGTTTAAGCAAAAAAAAAGTCTGTTATTACCATACTATTATACACATTTTTCCCTCAACGGCTATAGTAAAATGGATAAAAATGTAAGAGTTCAACATGAATATCCTAGAAGGGAAGGAGTCTTCTAGAAAACCCTGATTTTTAGTCTCTAGAGGTAAGAAACAAAAGTAGTTACATTCATCTGCTATCTTCATGACTCTGGGTGCTAAAATCTTAGAAACAATTTTTTTGTCATCATAATGGAGCCCAAATTTGAACTTGAAGTATGATAAAGTGAAAGTTGAAAGTTATTTCTCAAGTGATGTTAAAAAAATCATTTCTACCTTCCAAGCTGGTGCACATTGACTTCCAATAAGTAATTATAAAGCTCAAGGAGAAAGCTCTCCTTTCTAGCCTTCTTAAACTCTCTCAATTTTAATAACAGAGAAGTTTCATTTCCTCTGTTAAACCTGTACTGAATTCTTGGAATTGCAAAATGAATATAATGATCAGATAATTGAAACAGCTGATGCCATCTTCAAATTGTGATCTACAGATGTTTGGTAGGTGTATTGGGTGGAGGACAAAATTCCACTCCAGTTCTTCCTGGATGGATTTGTTCCAAAGCCTAGAGTTTCCCAGTTCCAACAACCATTTACTTGAAGGAATAGAGTTAAGACTGGAAAGAAAAGGAGCTGTGACATTTTCAGATCCTTACAGTTTGGTAATAGAGTAATTCATTGTATCAAATATTTTAGAGTGAGTATTAAAAGAAATAATGTTAAACTTGTCATTTGAACTACTTAGTATTGTTAAATTCAATATAAAATTTGACTAGCATACAAATATCTTCAAGTCTCTTCTCTCTTTAAACTCTAACTTGAGCCCTTCATGTCTCCTAACTCTGCTCTTCTTGTTCTTCCCTTTTCAGTAAAGTGTCTTGAAAGGTAGCTTATAATTGCTATCCCTGTCATCTCAATTTCAGTATACTTCTTAATTTAATGTAGTCTGGTTTTCACCTTTGTGTATTTACTACACTAGTGCTTGGATTTTATTTGTTTACTTGTTTGCTTTTTATCATGTATAAAGAAAATTTGGAAGTGGGGCGTATGTCTTCTTAGTGGCCTCATATTCTGGAAACATGTATTTTACAAAAATGGCTTAAGAATGATGAGCTTTGTACTATGAAAATTGTTTTTCAAACAAGCCAGTTCAATTACTTAATGATACAAAAGTGTAAAATTAATTGAGAACCTCCAATTACCCAAAGAGATAAAAGTACTTGCAATGTCATGTCTTGTTCACAAATAAGTAATTATAAACCTTGTTATAATCCTTATTTGACATTTAGATAAAAGAATTAATGTTTTGATGAATTCTGGACACACTAATGGAAGAATATGTTTACAAAGACTGTAGAGGCTAGAATTCAATGTGTTATAAATAAGCTTATTGTACTTATAATATGATTCAATATCACAAATATAAACCATGATATTAATTTCTAAAATCAACTACATTAAAGTGGCTATTGTAGCCAACTAGGATACTTAGTAATAGTTAGTGAAAGGATAATTGAAACAAAGATTTGAATTATTCTTAATTTTTTGGATCAATTCACAATTTAAAAGTCAATTTCTGCTACTATTTCAAGTCAAATTTTTATTTTTTAGTGAAGAAAAAGTAACTAATTAGGACTTTTTAATTTTGGAAGATTTAATTGATACATGTATGACAATGAATTTATACCTAACTTTATTGCAATTTCAATGAAATGTGAAACATTCTGACACCAAAAATCTACTAAGCCCTGGTTTTTCATTTAGATCTTTCTAATTTAAAATGTATTATTTGTATATCTTGTATCAAGGGGGAAAATAGTATGGAAATACATTGCAGTCTTGCACAAAGCACAACCATTTTCATTGATTTTATTTCAGTAGGCAACACTGCAGACTACTGTGTACAATTATATCTATATATTACACATAAAGATTGAATATAAATACATGATAATTAATCTTAGAATTAAGGCTACAAGAGAACAACTCTAAAGAAGGATGAGAATTACAGCCGACTTCTACTGTTTTGCTTGTGATGTTGTTTTCAGGATTAAATACACTTCTGATTTTTAAAAAATAACAAATATAAGACAATATGGGAAAATCAAAAGGGGAAAATATAACCATCAAATGAATACATGCTATATAACCAAGACTTAGATGTTATGACTATGGTGGAAATGAGATAGAATCACCTCAGTTGGCTATTGGGAAATTCACTGAGCTTAGTGAATCAGTTCAGCCACACATGTACAGCACTATAAAGGAAACTGAACCTCTCAAAATAATGTTTAAGAAAAAATGTTTAACTTTCAATAAACTGTAATACTCCAGTAGACAATTTTCCATACACTATAGGAACTTAGGTTTGGGAAAAATTGAAGATTAATAAATATAAAGAGTTATGGAAAGATAATTTCTAGAAAACAGGTCATGAGCTAAACTTCAAAAGATAAATGACCCTAGGAGACTTGCAAGGTAGGGAAGATCTCCATAAACAGTGTGAGCAGAGCCCCCTAAGAGGAAAACATTTGTGAGACATTTGAACAGAGTGAGGCATTATCAGAAAGAATTTGAAATTAAGCATGCATCAATAAATGGTCAGATTAAGGAGGTGTTTGCCAAAGGAGGTGGCTTTTTCTTTCCTCTTATAATATGAGAAGTTACTCAATTTCTGAAGAGTAGAGTAATATTTAAAATACTATTGGTAAAAATTATTTTTAACAAAGCACTGGAAAGATTGAAGAGGGGAGTGAAAATAGTTAAATCACACAAGATGTTTCAAATCAAATTAAACATCGTATCTGCAAGAAATATGGGATACAAACAAGAATGCAGAAGCAATTTAACGTGGTTTAAGGAAAGGTTTTCCAGTTAGATCTGTTGCTTAATTCACCAACATTTTACACTCAAATGAAGTTGACATTGAACCAAACAAAGCAAAATCTAATTCAAAAGTTACAGCTCAGATGCTAAAACTATTTTTATGTATTTAAAACCAATCATACAACTCTAATTAGTATCTGTCACTACAACAGAAAACTGTTGTGTTTTAAAGGTCTTAAGTACCCACAGATTTTCTTGGTCATGCTACTAAAAAAAGAATTTATAGTTTTACCTTTTTTAGTAATATAATCTAGGAATTCCCAGAGTATGTGAACACTTATTTCTCCAAATTTATATAAATAGAAGAATGTTGAGGTAAATAAAGTTAATTAAGTAAACAGTTATTAAGTAAATAAAGTTTACTTGATAAATTAAGTAAAATACATTTTACTTAATTTCAAAGAGAATGTAGAGATTACAGGCCTAATGCTGTATTTAATAACCAAACTACACTGATTTTCTCATATAAATTAGGCATACATTATAAGATTTTTTAAAAATCTTGAAGCAAAAATTAAGTGTCAAAATATAGACTGTTACATTAATAAATTTATTTTTGTGTGTATCAGTATGTAAAATAAATGACTAGTAAGTACTCTATAAATATTTTCAAACAATGAACTAAGTAAAAATAAATAGAAGAATCACTGTTTTACAAAAGGAAGAAAGACAGGATTTTGGCTCAAAAGGAAAACAAAACAAATCAAAAACAAAGAACAACAAAACAGTTTGCAATAAAATAAGATTGCTTTCAAGAGTTTCTTTCTAATATGACCAGCATTTCTTGAAAAGATTCAGTTGTGTTTTATAAACATTTTATATATTCCAGAAATAGATTTTTTAATGAACAAATCAACTTTAAATTAATAAACTTCTCAGATTTTTTCCAATATTTGATTAGTGTGATTACCTCAGAGATACAAAGACATTGCCTTAAAATGATAATAAATAACTTCTGCTTTGCTGCAGTAATAACGCCCATACACAATCAAAAATAAAAATTACTTGGTGAGCTGAAGTTTTCCTATTGCAAACTGAATTCCTGTAATCATATCAGAAATCACCCAGAACATATTTCATCTAAGTACTATTCCTTAAAATGTTTTCTTAATATTCCTAATGAGTTAAGCTCAGTATTACAAAGGAATCATTTACAATAATTTATAGTAGACAGTTACATATATCAGCAAAGGTGAATATAAAGGAGTAGATGGAAACTGACCTCATTCACAGTGGCATAGTAGCTTTCGTGTTTGAAAGTGGGTGAGTTGTCATTCCTGTCTCTCACCACGATTCTTACTTCATGGTAGATAACTGTGCCCACTTTTTTGTTGATGCACTGGACTTGCACAACAATGGAGTGTATGTTCATTGGTGGCTGTAATGTAGAAGTTAGATATTTTTTAAGCAGTACTTGAAATCAATCTTCCCATCACTGTCAATGTTGTTCATCAAAAAAACATTTATATTTATTCATTTTTGCATTATAATAATCTAGAAAAAATTAACTATGTGTGTACTTCTGTATAAATAAGAGAGGATAATTACAATTATTTCACATTCAATTTTGTATTCAAGTTGCAGTATTTTCATAAAGGATTACTAACAAGTCAAAAAACAAAACTAAAGAGATTTGATGTGATGGAACAATTTGTTTCATTCGTTTAAAACAATTTGTTTAACAATTTGTTAAAGAAACAATGATATGAATTTCTATCTTTATTAGAAGTAACAATTTACTAATTAATAAATTCCAGAAGAGAGTCTGTATAACATTATGTTCATTTTCAAATTTGTTAGCATGTTATATGATCATTACTGATACAAATTGACACATAGATAAAAGAAAATTCATTCTTAATCTAACCAAAATTTTTTACTCTATACATTTATTTAACTCATGTTTTTCTCTTTCCAAATTAATACTCATTAAACACCACATACTCATACACATAAATACACACACAGACATGTAAATATCAGGCTTGGAAATAGCGATTTACAGTAGCACTTTGGTATACATGACTATGAAGCTATGTTTTAACAGTACTCTTTTATAAGGCTATAGTTTAATTTGCATAACTAATAAATTATAATAAGATGTTTTCAGGCTATCAATTTTTGTCATTCAACACATGAAATATGAATGTATGTTCCTTTGCCTAGTTTATGATAAATTTTTGAAGAAAAAATAGTGTTGTTAAGGCAGCAGTTCTTTACACAAACCCTCAGACTAAGCTTGTAGAGCTGGTGTGCATATGTTTGACTGCAGTCAGAGTCCAAATAGTACTAAATGTATTTCTATGATTTTTTTAATCTCTTTCAGTCTTTTAAAATGTTCTATCTAAATATGTCACTTTACCAGCATAACCCATCTGGATCACACCATCTCAAATACTATGCCTCCAAATGCACACATGAAGCAAAACATCACATTTTATTCCATAAAAATATACAAATATTGTGTCAATAAAAATATTTTTAAAATGTTAATCTCAAAAAAGTGAAAGAAATAGATCTATAAAATGTGATCTAATAATTTTAATTATGCATTGTTATGAAATATTTGGATTAAACTAGTTTAAAAATATATTAATGATCACTAGTACCTAGGATAGATAAATTTGAAATGTTGGCAGCCATGTTGTAAATAAGAATAATGCAAATAATATTATATCTAAACTGAAGCAAAATATTGTTAGCCTCAGAAATTTTATGGTCAAGAAAGAAAAAGACTGAATTGATTTGTATCTGTATGAATAATTGCAACCAGAAAGAATAAATAGAAGTATCACTAACACATAGAGGAAGATCTCTAGTAAAATGCCACATAGCTCTGTGTTCTGATGTCTACCCTATTTCACTTTTCATCTGGATATAAATGAAGACATTAGAGTCATTTGTATGAAATCTATGACTGTCATAAAGGACAGAAGAATGTATAAGACATAATGATGAAAGACAAATTTCAAAGTCACCTCAATGATTCAAAGTAATATAATAAAATGGTAAATTTTATGATAATACATGTAAAGTTTCCAATTTTTAATGGAAAAACAATCACTCAAATGCAATAAATGGCTACAAATATTACTCTGAGCAGACAATGAAATTTTGATGAGTGAAAGCTGATTTGACATGCTTACAGTTTAAATTGGCTAACTTGATGCTAATGCAAAGTTCATATTCATTGTTAACATCAGACACAGAAAAGGTGGATCATAACGGGTACCATCTGAAGAGAGAGTAAAATTTGAACACTTGAAGAATGTATGATAAAATTTAGCATGTTCAAGCAAAAAGATTTATCAGCTATCTAAAATGTTTCATGGAAAAAAATCTATTAGCTCATTCACTATAGTCCCACAAAGAAGAAATAAGGACAATAAGTAAAATGTTTTACAGAATATGTTTCTATATAGTGCAAAGTGGCACAGAATAAAACAGACTAACCTATTAAGCAAGCCTTATAACTAAATATATGCAAGCCTGAGGGAAATAATAAAAATAAAATACCATTTAAAGAGAAGAGGCTCTTAGAAGTTTTCTGGAAAGAATTTGAATTAAATGTCCTCTATTTTTACTATTAATTTAAAAGTATTTGCACTAGTAGAACTTTTAAAGAGGTTTCTGTGTGTTTTAATTGCAAAGTAAAAACAATAAATGAGTGTACTATTAGCTCTTCTTACAGCTCTTAGAAAACAATCAGGTGAATTATATTCTTTTAAAGTAATTTATCTTCTAAATATTTCAAGAGAGACCTATAAATCCCTTCCATCTGAACTAATTCGACATTGAGTGGTAGCACTCTGACAGAAAGGTCACAGTCTTTTCAAGTAGAGGATCAAATGCAGTGTGCACTGAGCCTCACTTGGACCTGCTAAGTATCCATAAATTAGACATAATGAGGTCACCTGGAACTGTTGTCAATTTCAACTTTAGCTCCCTGTGCAACTCCTGAAATCATGGATAGCACTTAGTAGGCAATAAATTCCAACAACAATGGACTATGCTGAAGTCAAGAAGTCCCTGTGGCTTATATATAACACAGTGTAATTTTGCACTGGAATATATTCTCTTCTGCTGTTTAAGAAGGTCATAAATACATCAAGTACAGTTCTACTAGGTCGGTTAATGAGAGCTTAGAAATGTTTAGAAATGTTAGCAAAATTTTGGTTTATCTTTCATAACTGGTGACAAAAAAATCAGTTGTGGTAATTTTATATTTTGAAATTCTCCTTAATTACATAATTTATGAAACAAAGAAGAAAAAAGGTGTATAATTTGTACTGGAGTAATTGCTTAAAACAACTACCACTCACATATACCTTGAAATGCAAAGCACACTCCTATTTTTTTTTTTTCTTTTTGGTACTGGGGCTCGAACTCAGATCCTTCAGCTTGCAAGGCAGGCAGCGGAACCACTGAGCTAAATCCCCAGTCCCAAATTTTAAAAACTGAATGCTTAACATCATACTAGCACTATACAGCACTCACCTGCAATTTAAGGGGAAATGAGATTTTCTATAAATCATGTTATTGGGAGTGTTTAATGATTTGGAGTACTCATTATTTGGAGGGAAATAATTTTTAAGCTAAGCTAACTTTTTAGGCAAAATATATTCAACTGTCACAGAAGGGAAGAGCTTTCATTATTCTTTTCTTCCTACATACTTGTTATACTTTTACAAAATGAAGAATCTTCATAATTCCACAAATAAAGTGGAAGAAAGTGGAAAAAAGACACTGTTTTAAGAAATTAGTTTTAGAGTGAAGCTCAGCTGGTCCCAGCACCCAGAAGGAAGCTCCCCGCCTCCATCCCAGGCTCCTAGGGCAGAGAGGGTGAGCCGGTCCCATTACCTGGAAGGAAGCTCCCCCCCCCACCATCCCAGGCTCCTAGGGCAGGGAAGCTGAGCTGGTCCCAGCACCTGGAAGGAAGCTCCCCCACTGCCATCCCAAGCTCCTAGGGCAGAGAAGGTGAGCTGCATGGGCGCCAGAAGCACCCCCCGTGGGAAATGAGAAGACACATAAACAAGTCTCAAAAACAGACTTCTGGATCACCTAGAGCAACCCCAAAGGGAAACAAGATGGAACAATCTGATACTCAACCACCTGGACTCTCTGAACTGGCAACAAAAGAGGATCTGGGAAAAATGAAATCAGAAATAATTACTCAGA